CAACACACCCTACTCTTAACTAGTAATCAGTTGCCTCTCCCACAAGTGGTGTAATTTGGTAAAGGCCAAACGAGAACTTTTGGGCTGAATACAAAAGCAGTGTCAGTAGTGGACGCTGTAAAGTCTACACTCCTTCATTTATGTAGCAATATTAAGCCTACTAAAAAAATTATTTTTTAAGAAAACTATTATTTCAAAGGAAAAAACTGCAATGGCTGATAACTGACTGATTAGGAAAGAAGCTAAGTCGAGTGATTCTGTAGTAAACAAGATAAACTATTTAATTTGTTAACAGTAATGGGAAGCTTGAATGTTTTCTCTATGTAACTGACTACTTGTAAACAGATCAGTGAAATAAGATATGATCCTTTGTGAGGATTATATTCAATGACAAGAGTGTTCTAGGGTTATTTCGTGAAATTAAGGCTCACTGGTGAAACTATGCATATTTTGCTTGTCCTATGATAAGAATCAACAGCAGTTCGCATTCTTATTGTCGCATCAAAGCAATGAACACGTTTAGGCAGTTCAAGGATTCTTCTTCTTCAGTCTTTGCGTTTCCAACTTGAGGCTCTTGAAGTTGCAGTAACAGTAGTGTTGTTTTTATGGGATGGGGTCGATAGTCTCATACCCGGTTAGGTGAGATTTATGAGGGAGTCGAAACCAGGACCTCTCACTTGGTTGGGGAGTCCTAGGATTCCCTTCGTTAATCTTGTAGGCGATATTATTAAACCGGTAGTAAATAAAAATTAGGACTTTCGATCAAAGGGATCTCATCTAATATTTTTGGAAAGCACAAAAGAATGCACAGTCCAGAGAAATTTTCTTACCAGAATGAGCATCTATGGTAGATTTTAAACAAAACGTTCAGAAGTATAAACCTGACTCCTGTTTTTCCTCTCACAATATTGATAAATGGTTTAACCAGGTACAAAAATATCAAATACAGACATGCATCATCCCGAAAACTAATCAAACGCTCAAGTCAAACAAGAAGTTAATTCCTTTTCATTCTCACCTACCAGTAATTGTTCTGGACTTTCCATCCATTTGAAAATATATGATACTCGTCAAGAATTCTTCGCTGCACTGTTTTATTCCCTTTTCATTCTATTGCCGTCAAAGAGATGAATGAAGCTTTAGAATTTTTTAAGCCAAATTCATCCTTTAAGTTAAGGAATATAAGATGGATGCATTTTCTACGTATGTGGTTGTGAAAATTTGTCCCCTGAACGTGTACAGATATGGATCGTCGGGTCGAGATCCACTGACTGAACAGTTTCATTCTTACTATCTAACATCGATGGTATATTTTCTGTCTTGTACACAGTTCAAACATAGGTAGGTATGAAGTGCTCTGGTGTTCACAGAGATGTCACTGTCTTGATTACATCAAGAAGTACATGAGTTAGCAGTAAGCTGCTTTAAACCGTCAAAATATTCCTTTCAGAGTTAATTACTACTTCAGGCCCTAGTTATGTCGTTAAGTCTTAATTCACTAGCTACAACTTTTCTCAGTTTCATATTCGCCCATCTTACATCAATACCCCCTGCAAGCTAACGGTATACAGTAATGCAGTCAAGTTTTGTTATACGTATCCTTTTCGTTTATGGGCTAAAAACACCTGTCCACTTTCTTTCTATCTGTCACCTAGGTTTCACGTGCAGATGTTATGTATTAGTACAGATAAGATGTGGCTGACTAACCATCACGACTTCATCACTAGATCCTGCTGCTTTGATCATTTATCATTTGTATCAAGTACTTCCACACAAATAGATAAATAATATGGGAGCATAAAACACACCTTTAAAAAATGATCTGCTGAATTCTGATAATGCAATTGTCGTCATGCCAAAGGAGATACTGTGCTGGTGTGATACAGACAATGTGTTCCAACGGAATACGGTTCTCACATATTCCCACAGTTCAATTCGGCATTAGCAACAGAATACAATACATCTATTTGAAGATTCTATTTGATGTTAGAGACAGAATACATTTCCCATGGTTATATACTGCATTAACAAAGAATACTATGTATTTTTGAACATTTTATTTCATGTCGTATAATGTGAACCAAAATCACACGCTCAGTGATTGGCTAACGAATATAAACTGTATATATTTAAACAGCGTTTTGATCAATGAAAATATACCTTGGCTTCCGTGTCTTGCCTTTTGCAGTTACAATACTTCAATGGTTTCATTTACACATTGGAAAAATTTGCAAGTGAGGTAATGAGTAGTGTACAAAGGTGAACAGACTTTACATTCCCTTAAAAAATACTGCTACATTCAGTAACCTAAAGTTAGAGCTGTTCACAAAAGTAAAATTAATTTATACAAGCAAAACTACAAGAGGCCTTCTATGATAATCTTGTTCCGTGTACGTGGATGACTGTGGTTAACGGAAAAACTTGATCATTTTGAGACTCAAGCCAAGGATCTTCAGTTTGCCGCCATTTCAACCAGTCACGAACCTGATTATAGTCACGCCTTATCCTCAAAACGTTTCGCCTCAATGTCAAGTGAATATAATAATAATAACAATACTCACAGACCGAATGCATTCGATAATGGGCCACACATATAGTGTGAGAACTGATGAATATCTTCCTGCCCAAAGCTTGATGGGTGAAATCAGCGACCTAGTGCCTAGATATTTTTGAAAATAGGGCATGCAAATGAGTTTGAAGTCTGTTATCAGGCTCTAGTTTGACGTCAATAAATATTCAGCACATGAGTCTTTTCAACTGACTGCCTCGTCTAGCCTGTTGTAGTTCGCCATAGGAAAATGTTATTATATCTCGCACTTAATATCACTTATGATTTAATACTTACTCTTCAGAAAATGTGACCGAATAAGGTCTTCAAGAAGTTAATTATTAGCATAATCTAATCACCAACGTCAAACTAAAAAAAAGCATTTTAAAACTGCACTTTATTTCCCAGACTGTATCTCTTAAAACATTATGAATTCACCTATAACACTGCTTTCTGTACAGGCTTTCTCCTCTCAAGCAATAGTGTGAAATTATATAATTTTTAGATGAGAACCCGTATCTCATATAACATTAGTCATAAAAGCGTAATAAAGAACACTGGATAAATTGCTTCAGCTGAATACAATCACAGGAAGACGAAATTAATTCTTGTGTTTTATCAGCATTTTTATCAATCACATTCAATAGCTACATGCCAATGTCACGTGTCAAATGATCAACAATGGAAAACTCGGTGAAGCGTTTGAAGTGGACATAGAAGTGAGACAAGGCTGCCTACTATCACCGATGATATTCCTAATTTGGGTGGACTGGGTTATATGTCAGACTGTGGAGAGCGAGAAGACAGGAATACGCTAGACAGATAAGAAGACTCTAGAAGATCTGGATTTAGCGCGTGGATGATTTAGGTCTGTCACAAACTCGAAGGCCTTTTGGCGAAAACCAACAAGCTGTCAGAAGAAGCAGAAAAGACAGGACTTCAACAACAACAAGCACCAGTAACTACCAACGGAGGAAATTTGAAAGCGCTCACTTCCTTCGCTTATATAGGCACCATCGTCTCAACCACAGGCGGAACCGATGGGGACGTCAAAAGCAGAATCGGAAAGGCAAGACAAACCCTCATCAATATAAAACCAGTTTGGAAATCTGCACTTAGCATAGAGAACAAAATTCAGATTTTCAACACCAATGTTGATTCATTTCTTCAATTGGAAACTTGGCATGGAGGAGATCGTGTCAAGAGGAGGTGAAAATTTATGAGTAATCTTGGGACCAGCTAACGAGGATCGCAGAGAATAGGACGAAGTAGAGATGTGCTGTTGAAGTCCTAAGTTCCACTCAGAACATAAGGGAACAATGATAATAATCAGAGTACCTATTGGAAGATATCAGAATTCAACTTAGTGTTTATTTAAATGAATAAGCCTAAAATTGGAATAGTCTGACATTATGGTATACTTAGGTTGTATGTTTTCTTATGTTATTAATCGCAGTTTTTTTAACCGGAAAGTATAAGGTCCTGTCATGTCAGAAAATATGGGAATTATTTTACTTTAAGGCAGGCATGTGGTTCGAACAGATGTGTGAAGTTGTAACCAGTGGGGTTCACCAAATCGGTTGTGGTGACAACCACTCTATTATAACATCAGCTGACAGTGGAGTTATATACAGCGAACTGACAGAAGTTAGAATTTATTTGCTGACCATTGGAATCCATACCAGTTCCTGAATGGTCAACGGCTCATCTCATAATCTGAAGGTGCTTGGTACAACCTCAGGGGTGGGTTAACGGATATGTACAGCTAAGGAGTCCTACCTGTACTTCCTGGTTTTCAATGGTTCTGTAACTGATGACGGCTGATAATTCAACTTACGATGTGACATAGTCAGTGGCTTATCACTAGTACATGATTGTTAAATCGTACATCTAACTCACGGAACTTCAAGGGACTGAGATTGCATTTGGTCCATACACAATTCAACTTGATGAAATCAAATTCATTGGTCATCATATTGGTGATCTCAGTCAAAAAAAAACAAATGAAACTATCGGTTTTTGCCTACATTAGAACTCCAGTCTCTCTTGTGATGTACATAGTGTTGAAATTAGTGTTAGAAGTAGCTTGTGCTTCTCATTCGCTTCATAAATGAAAATTATGTCATATCTATCGCCAACCCACTGCCAATAATGATGCTCTGCCTTCCCCGCATGCGTTAGTATTTCATCACATTGAAACTAAAGGTTAATGCAATGTGTCTGTGATGAAACACTTAACCTAGATGATCGCAAAAAAGAATGCTAGAATTCAGTGGTTCTATCAGTTCGGTCGTAGTTATAGTGAGTACATGAAATTTTATCACCTTTTAAACTAGAATATTTTTAATTTAATATGCACACTATTTTAGAGCAATAAACACAATTTAAAAAGTGGCAAAGCTTAGAAACAAGATGCATACATTTCATGGAAAAATAACCAGTGTAAACTTACTTCTATTGATAATTTCAAAGAAACGGTTATTTCACCTCCTTCTTATCCTAAGGTCTACTAAATTTAAATTTCCAATACAGATAGAAGCTGGAAGTGATTAGCATTCAGCACTTGATGATCGTTACTACTGCTGGATAAATTTTGTATGTGAAGTTGTGTGTGTGTGTACGTATGTATTAGTGATGGTTGTATAAAAGCATGACTGTTAATGGCTGGGAAATAAGTCACGAAATCTAGACAATTCGACCTTCATTTGGTTGGATACATTTTTTTTTCTACCATGGAATCGACCGTATTTTTGTTGGTCTGGTAATGGAATAAGGGATAGAGAAAAGTTTTGTGACAGGCGAACGTATGTGTTCTGTTATCTGCTAACAGGGGTGAGTCATAGAAATGATAATAATAATAATACTACTACTTCATCAAACGACCTTGTGCATCTTTTCTACCTATCCAGTCTGACCTTCGTTTTCAATATATGCATTAAAATAAGAGGATAATATAAACCAGTGTTCATTCTTTTTACTGGTCTAATCTATTTTTGTAGTAGTAGTAGTAAGAGTAACACGCCGCCTGAAAATTCTAAGAATTCTAAAATAGCAAAGTTGGATAGCTCATACAACTGACTCTGTATTTTAAAGTTTAGTAAAGTTTTTTGTCGTCTCATACACACACACAACAGTGATAAAAAGGATACAATGAAACTTTCTTTTCATATATGAAGGATAGACTTGTCATGCCGAAAAGGATAGTGCAAGGGAAGAAAAACGTAAAATGGTCAAACTGTTAACTGGCATATTTGTCACTTTTAATTAGATCAGCGGTAGGGGAAGCTTTATTTCTGTTTTAAGTTATTTCTGCTGACATGAAAGCAAGAGTCAGTGGAGGGGAAACGGGGTATTTTTGATGAATACTTCTTCTTTTCTTTTTTAACAAAACATTGATTACTACCACTGGCAAGTTTTGCAGGTTGAACTATAGCCAGCATGTTGTTCATTGTAATCTCCAATGGGATAAAAGTAATGTGCTAATTAGGTCAGAACGATTGTTCCCACTAGTTTCATTCTAATTTCCACTTGGCGTTTTGAATATTAACGAATGGACAGTAAGTGCTCCGTGTGTCGATATCTTTTCAGTGCAGAAAAAGAAATCCTGAGATACAATGATGACTGGATAGTGTAAGCAATGCACAGATGAAGATCTAGTTGACTAATACTGCCAGGAGCAAAAGTTGTACTTGACTGAAGTTATAACACCCGACCCACTTACTTTTCCTTTCCTATCCTATCATGTACGTAAAGGAGAATCTGCTATACAGGTAGGTACAGAAAGATAGGGATAAAGTTTCAGCTTAAATGGGTGAAGGTTTACAATAAAAAATATCTACATTTCAGTCAATATTCACGTTGAGTAGTGTTCTCTGAAGGACGGTAGTTTCGTAATGTAATCCAAATCATATTTATTCGTCGAATGATAATCAGCTTTGAATTCTAACAGCTGGCTGGCTGTAGAAGTTGACATACAACCATGAAATTATTAACTTACTTGGCTGACTTACACAAAGCAATAAGTCACACGGGTTCAGTGAAAAAACAACAACATTTAGTTGGGAAGGCAAGTTTTCACTGGAACACAGAGTTCATATTCCCTTTAATCGATAACTAAATCCGTTGGAAATATTATTTTCTCTTTTTGAAATCCAGCAACAAATTGTGGAAAATACCCATCAGGATACTAGAGAGAGAAAAGAACACGAAGTTCAGTAAAGATGACTGCCTTTTCCACGATTTCACTATCAAGAGCAACTATACAATCGCATTTATTTGCATAAGTTTACACAGATACAGTTATTACTTATTTAATTCCATACAGTAACGAGGGAAATTGAGGGCTATAATAATTTCCAACTTGACATTAAAATTTGAAGGTGTGAAAATAGATTACAAGGGGTTTTTGACTATATATTTTGATGATTAATAAAAATTCGAATAAATCTGCTGAAGAAGCTGTGGCTTACCCAGCGGAAAGTTCAGAAAAATCTTGTTTTGATTTTCTTAAACACGCTGGGATTAATTTAAAAGTAATTTATAATGAATCAATCTGACTCGGCGCTCAAATTATTCCAGGAAGTTCGTAACACCTATGGTCTGGAAACTTATAATAGTTACAATGTCTGTAAAATTAATATTTTGATATTTGGAAAGATAATTTTAATTTTAACTTGATGTGAAAGTTCAAGGGAGCGAATATAAATATAAATTCACAATGGAAGTTTAAAATGAATCAAGGGTTCCATTCCTGGATGTCGAAGTGACAAGAGATGATGGAACTCTGAAAAGATCTATCCACAGAAAACCATTATGTGATGGCCAACTGACAGACTCCTACAGCTGGATACCTATCAGTTGTAAGAGAGCTTTCATCATCTCGCTCGCCCACTGTACCAGAAGAATTTGCAGCAATGACTGCTTAGAAGACGAGCTTCTAATTCTCGAAAACACACTGGCTAAAAAATGGATACTCGACGCGTTTCGTGGAGAAGAACATGAAATCAAAGCCAAAAGGAGAAGAATGCACTTCAGTGCCAAAGGAAACATTATATTTGAATCTGGAATTCGGAAAAGATCTAGCAGCAGATATCATTAAAAGGAGAATCTCCAGTTCCTTAAATAAGACCTTTCTGCAGCTACTCTAAGAGTGATATTGTCCAACCGCCTACTGCTTCAGAACAATGCGAAGGACAGACTTCCACATATGACCACTTCACTGTGCATATACCAGTTCACCTGCTCATGTGGAGCTAGATACATAGTTTGCTGTATGCGGGTTCAATCAGGAGCCCCATAATTGAACACCTCGTCAACACCTGTCACAGCATCTCAACTGACTCATCATTCGGAGTCATTTACAAAGTAAACAAAAATTTACCAAAGGCAGTGTGTTTCCGACTTCTTTGTACTGCTGAAGCCCTAGCCGTATGCATTGAAATAGTGGGGCTGTGTGTTCAAAGTTCAAAAGAAACTGGTTCAACACCTACATTAGCCATGGATCTAGTTCGGTTTGTCTCCCTAGGTCCCAGTTTTTCATCGCCTTCATTTCCCTTCTTTCTCATCTTCAGTTTTTAAAATATTATTCTTTCAACTTGTTCTCACGTTCATCCCATTCACACTTTTAGTCATTAAAAGAAACTATTTTCTAATCCTGTATAATTTTGTCTCCAAACCCCTTGTAATGTATATTCACACCCTTGAACTTTCACATCAAGTTGAAATTAAAATTATTTCTATCAAAATATTTATTTTACTGACATTGTAACTATTTTCTAATCCTATGTAATCTCGTCTCTAAGCCCCATTGTAATCTATACTCACACCTTCAAATTTTAATGTCAAGTTAGAAATTATTATAGCCCTCAATTTCCCTCGTTATTATGTGGATCTGTGTAAACTAATGTATACAAATGCGAATGTATAGTTGCTTTTGAGAATGAAATCGTCGAAAAGACAGTCATCTTTACTGGACTTCTTGTTCGTTTTCATCAATAAATACGTATGATTACTTTTAACAAGTGTTAAACCAGCACACTAATGTTAATCGACAGATTGACGGTTGCAGTCAGTCGAAATTAACAGTAGTTCGCTGAGAAAACTAGTAAACTTTTTTTTCGTTTTCTATTTAAGAATTAATTATAATATTTACTGCTTGACAGTTATTTTTGCTGGTATCAAAGATAGAAAACTAATGAACAAATGCTTGATAGACTTGATAGGATGTCACATCTGTGAAGAATAGATTTATGTTACGAGTGAATTTACTACTCACTGTCAGCAACCAGAACACTTGTGGAAACCTAGGCACACTGGAAAGATATTTCAATTTCAATTTAGGTTTTTGTGCATGTTCATGACTCTGTGACACTCAGAATACACAGACTAATAGATGTACAGTGAATGACTTTGTGGCAATGTAATCTGCCCTAAAAACTTGAATGTAGGGCTTCTGCACCACATCTCCATTCCACTCTATCCTCTGCCTTCATTTTCTCTATGACTGCTTACAAGCTTTCATCTGCCTCTCGAATGTTCTTGCTCATGTCACCCACCCTCTGATAACCAACCAGTTGGTCGCTTATCCTTTCCGACAGGCCATCTGATCTTCAGTATCTACACAGGAGGAATCATGTTATGATGAAAGTCTTCAGAAGACTGCTGCAAATGCTTTTGGTGACATGCCAAGTCTAAGGTAGATTAAAGAAATTTAAAGGTTTTGTGCGTTTCAGGAGATACTGCAAAATCATTTACATTATTAATTGACACCGAGAAAAGTTAAACAATGTTATAAGTAAGAATAAATAACCTCCAATGCAACTGAATGCAACCCAGGACCTGGCAATCTTTGTTACCAATTAGGTGAGAACATTTAAACAGAACTACCCTAGTTTTCAGTGATCCTGCAGCTTATCTCTTATAATATATATATATATATATATATATATATATATATTCAATGTATAGTCACGAGTTTCTCCTAGATGGACAAAATTGGTCAAGCGGAAGAGTTATTCGACTGAATAATTACAATAATGATACTGATAACATTTTAGGAAAAAATTTTTACAAAATAAAAAAACAGTCAATATCCAGGCTAGAAACACGATCATTAAGATCGCTGACATTAACTGACAGATTACTTTGTCCTGTAATGCTTTCCATAATATCTCATTGGAAATGTTCGTGAAGTATCTATCTCTCTAGTTATATATCATATCAATGTTATATTCATGAGCAGGATGTGAATAGAATATCCGCAATTTTTACATGTGGCTTATAGGCAAAACATCTAACAAACTGAGTACTTGGAGAGTTGTATTTCAATGCTTAGCAGAGAAGTCTGTTTTGGAAGTTATGTACCCTTAGCTTTGCGTCAATTTGATTTGGATGCATTGTACAAGCAGAAGTATAGGAGGAGAATTAAGGCCAAAAGACACCAACTAATGGAAAATTCTCAGCTTGTAGAACAGTCACGTACACTTTCACTTGTATTTATTCTCGGTTGGTACACCTTCAATCTGTATTTTTCTGTATCAATACTACTTTCTTTAAGTTTGTATGCAAAATGGTTGGTTTAGAATAATTTCAAGCTTCTTTAAGATACTGTGGTTTCAATAATCCATCTGACTGTGTTGAAGAGATGAATACCAGTCGGTGGCACAGTGGTTAGGACACTCGCCGACCACACACATGGTCCGGGGTTCGATCCCCGATCGACGCACTCCTTCACCTCGCCAAACCAGTAATACAAAGCCGGTAAAAAAGAGGAAAGGTTGGGCATGAGGCTAGCAACCTCATCCTGTAAAAATAAACACTGCTACAGAAACTTCAAGCCTCTAACTTGAAGCCCTATATTCCACTGGGAACGTGAAGGAAAAAATAAGTCTGCAGTGGTCTGGTGGAAGTGCTTTTGATAGCCCGAGCACCAAGTCTTTGAACCACATTGAATCATAGATATGACATTGGTGTTATTTATTATTTCTTCTTTACTATCACTTTCGTCATATGTGGAAAAATGCATGCAAAAGTTTCCAAAAAAGTAATGGAAGCTGAAACATTCAATAGTTTCCCGGTTAACATAAAAATTGTGCTGAAGAAGTAACTGTTATTCTCGTATAAAAAATTAGCGTGATGAATAATTCGCTTACCTGCCAGCCTGTTTTAGATGACACAAATAAATCTTATGAATGACTGCTATTTATCTGTCCAGACAAAGGGACTTTTCAAGAAAACTGTCACTGTTATCCATATTGAACCCAAGATTTTCTACCGTCTTTGATTGGAAACTAGCTAGTAACTAGTGTAATATGTCTAGGCCTTTCTTAGTTGCAGACTGTATTCTGTCAGTCAAGTTTGTAATGTAGCTGCCATACTACGTGGCTCGCCATCACAATGCACTGTGAACTGTTTATATTAGATGGTTATAGGCAGTCAGCAGTTCCTAGGCTTCCTAGTGGCCAACCAAAGCATCCAATACAGTCCTATAGGAGGTCAGTTGCTATCCCGAATAGCTCAGTGGTAACTTCTCTGACTGCAGCACTCACTGGGTGACACAGGTTCGAATTTCAGAAGCGATGTGAATCCTGCGAGATTGTAGATACGCCATACTGACGAGTGCTAGCTAGCACGAAGCTTAGGTTCAAGGCTTCCTGCCGATTGCCTCCAACCATCTGACTTTGTACACTCACCACTTTTAATCTCAAGGGGAGAACAGAAAAACTTCTAGAAAAATAGCAGGCTTATGAGATTTAATCATTACTGTCTCTTTAAGTAGGATTAAAAATCAAGTTTGTTTTTAATTATTGCATTATAACTTCATGTAAAAATCTGTTTTCTAGGCTGAAAATTTAAATGAACAAGTTATTAGAACTCTAACTCCTTGGGACTTTCAGAAGAAAGTGAATACATGAGTACCTTCAGGTGTTCCAAAAAGCATCTTTTGTTACTGCATTTTATTTATTCCCCTTGATGAATTTGTTGCGTATATGTGAAGTCAGTGATATTAATATAACTGCTCTGAATGCATATTTTCCCTACTTCTGACTGATATATTAGCTTAATGGTGTTATGCAGTAAAATCAGGTCCACAGGTAAATACATACCGACGAGCTAGACCTTTGAATCTTCACTGATTCCTTTTAAAACCTGTTCCTTACATCCAAACTCGGTAAAACATTCTTTTAGATATCACCTACCATATGGAAATTACTCGAATTAAAACAACTATTCATCTACTTTTTTCCCACCACTGCATTGGCAGAAAACTGTAGACTTACCAGAGGAATATTCATTAGGACTTTAGTATCTCTATATAGAGAAACCAGGCACACCTTATCTTCAAATCATCATTTGCACAGATCTTCTGTGCTGTTCTACTTCTCGCCTTCATATTGTGTTTCTTTGTGTTCCTTTCACGTCTCTCATACATCTTTGCAACTGCGTATCATTCCCTTTCTCTGACATCAAATCTATCCACCTACTACTCGATGTCTTTACGCCGATGAACGTTTCTTTATATACTAGTGATAAATCTTATCAGTAGCGCACACCACACCATCACAATCAGTTGAAACAAGAAACGACTAATGTAAGAGTAGAATTTGGATAGGATATAATCCCGTACTTGATAGAATATACAATGATAAAGTATTAATTACTGGATACAGTTTCGGGGACAGTGTATTGTTCATGATCATACTAACAGTTCCAAGTGACTCCTTCACTTGCTTTATATAGTCTTACTTCCTCCTGGCTTTTATTGCAATCTCTCATATATCTGGAAGTGGTGTAGCGTCATTCCTACTTCAGATGTTGGTTGTTGATTCCACGAAAAAAATACTGAGTGATTAGCTTTTTAGCACTTATACCCTACCCTATACTATTGTGTGGTTAATTGCAAGTTTAAGCATAGTAATCACTGATTTTTTTCCCCCTCAAATTATCTAACCTGGGGAGGTGTTTCATTCCAGATGTGACAAAATCCTGACTTTCTTATAGCCTAACTGATATTAACCCGCTGATTTGACCTATGTATTTGGTAAATTAAATAATTCAGTCAAATTACGTCAATGGGATCCTTAAGTCTATGTAGTTAACCTCTGTGGCACAGTGGTTAGCACTCTGGCCGATCATTCGCATGGTCCGGGGTTCGATCCCCTGCTGACGCACACCCGATATCTATGGTTGGTCTGCGAAATTTGGGCTACCGATATCCATGCTGAAAATTCCATACTTGTACTGAAAATACGGTGCGGCATCAAGCTGAAATCAAAATAAAAAAAATAAATAATTGTTTGGTTGGTTGGTTTAAATAACACTCTTCTTAAAGCCTTATTAAGAATCCTACAATAAGGCCCTGATTCTCTTTCGTTATATGGCAGTACTATCGTGACTTTAATTTCTTATTATTTATATTATTTATATCACTGCTTTTATTTCACTTAATGGTCCTAATACATTTTTGAATGGATTCTATTGAGTGGTTATTTTATAGTAGTGTTTTCAAGTATTGGTTAGTAGGGATTTGATTGATTGGTTACAGGATTTCATCATGAGCTGATATCGGTTAGGAAGCACTGGAAAACCTGGTAGTACTGGACAGTTGTTTCATCCTAGTTTGGGACTCTTCATCAGCAAGCACCCACCGCCGGGGTCCGAACCTACGGCCTTCTGGTTACAAGGCGAGCTCGTAGACCATTAAGCCACTGGGACCCGATCCAATGGCCCATGAATTCTAACTTCTGCCAATTCACGACATAGCGCGACCACTAGCCAATGTCTTCGGCGAGTATTTGTCCTCACACCCGACCTGCTGCACCCTACTGGTCACGACTTCCCAATAGAGCCCCAGGTAACTACTTACGTGAATCAGGCCAGTCACTAGTGAGCATAAGGTTGATATTCAAGTAATGGTTTGTAGGCATTTGATTGATTGGTTACAGGGTTTCATCATAAGCTGACATCGGTGTTTTTCTTGTCCCTACTCAGATTTTATGACCTAGTAGTCAGGCAGGCACCCGGTGAGATTACTTACTTACCCAACCTTCGTGAATCAGGATTCTGCCGAGATAGTTTCTGAATTCATCTTTGTTGATTTCACTTGCCATCAGTCATTGTTCATATGAACTTGAACAAACTTTGTGCTTATGGTTGACAGTTATTTTAAGTTTTCTTTAGGTTAAGGAAATAATTGTGATTGCCTACAAATGTTCTCGTTAGTTTACATGATTGGAATGTAAGTATATAAGGACTGTAAAACAACATTTACAACAAAGCAGTTTTTTCTATAAATTCAGGTTTCTACGACTTTCTGTTGAATAAAGGGTCGAACTGCATCAGTCTGTTGAGGTATGTTTCTCTTCATCACTAGGTAAGTGAGCAATACAGAGAGTTGAGTTTAGTACTGGCTACGAAAAAACCTCTCTGAGTGGGTCAGAAGAAGTAAACTTGAGAATGTGTGACTGTTATTTGTCATACATAGAATAATTCATAGGATGGATAGAACTTGAAAAAGGTGTGCAATTATAAGATTAGTAGACAAATCGAATAAAATAAAAACGTTACGTAATATTGTGTGAAATTTAATAGCATAGAATTTAATGTTGCATAAAGGAATTGATTTAGAATGACAAGTGGAACAAATGAAATAATACCTAGGGCAATTGAAAGTGAGAGTAGTAATAGTAACAATTGACTTAATGAGGAAGAGTATACAAATTGAATAGACAAAAATGAAAAAATGAAAAATTGGTAGAGCTAAAATATGATTGAGGATTACCATACTTTAGCATAGAGGGATTAAGACCATGAAAGTTGGAGGGGTTGAACGAACTTTTTCTGTACACAGAGATCTGGCTTTTCTGTTTCGATAGCGTAAGCTTCAGCAATACAGATAAGTTGGGTACGTAGGGATTTGGGTAAATTACTCTTTGCCTTGTAGATGACTTTGAAGGCGGAGGCTATAGAGATAGGGTGATCATTATCGACCAGATGTTCAATGATCGCGCTTCTTATTGCTCCACTTTCACCTTTTCGTAACCATGCAGGATAGTGTTCTTGCACCCTCTTGGACAAAACTCGTGTCGAACGACCGATATACCTAGCCCCACACGAGCAGGTGAATTGATAAACACACATAGAGTTGGTCAACAGCGGGATCTTGTCCTTCAGGTTATTGAACAATAATGGTCTACTAGTAAAGGCTATTCTCAGGGATGCAGCAGAGAATGTTCTTTTCAGGGACTGTGATATCCTTCGTTTCATGATATCGGAAGCTAAGTCCCTTTTGAATTCCAAGCTCATATAAAGTATCTTCTTATTTGTAGCAAACCTATATTTTTTTACGGTCTTAATACCAGAAGACTAAAACGGAATGGCTATAGACAACAGTCACCATTTTATAACTCGGATACTAATCACATTATTTCTTTTTAGACTGTATGAGCTAGATTACTATTAGGGAGTCTACAATGTCTGGGTCGTAATCCTCTGTACACTGGGTTCTGAAATGCTATATACTAAAACGTTGTGAGAATACAGTATTATGACACTGTTATCATCACTTAGTTTTATTAGAGCAATAGGCAGCATGAAATTTCTTTGCCAGTAACTTATGCGAGAGCCTGAATAGCTCGGTGATAATTTTTGTGACTACAGTGTTGTGTGGTGCGCGTTCGAATCCTCCGAAGGTCATAAGCTTAGTTAGTTTATCAGCCAGTCCTAAAGCCAAAAAATGGAGGGATTAGGCGTGGTATTAGAGACTGAACCCCTTTAAATCCAACAACCTCATCAGTATTAGAACCTTTTCACTGGGATCTGAAGAACTGTTCATTTCGTGGACAGATAATCCTGGTGGGTGAAAGCCTTAGGGGTGCTACTTGAACCATATGTTTCCTTCCGATGAAAGCGAAAGCTAGCGTAAGAACTTTGGAGAACAATACCATTTTTAAGGCTAGAAAGACTGCTCGGATTACTGAAAAATGAAAAGATATTTTTATAGAAGTGCTAGGAATCTTTGAGAAAAGATAGAATTGAAGAAGACTGTCCCAACTGTCAACTGGAAAGTTGATCTCCTAGTGCAGCTACCCAGACAACAACCATGAGTACATTCAGGATGTGGATGTCATGATGTTTCCAACAACCTTGAAGGTTCTCGTACACTGAGAACCAAGCCGCCTCAGGATACTAACGGCAAGATTCAACTCAAGGGGAAGGAAGGTCACAATTATACAATGTAATCCACCTACAAACAACGCAGACCCGTGGAAGAAGGAGGAATTCTATACATTACTGCATAAAGTAATGGACAAGAACCCAAACGAATAAATCAGAGTTGTAATGGATGATGTGAATACCAAAATGGAAGTAGATGACAACACGGGAAGAGAACCCATCATGAGTTCAGAAACGCCCGGTGAAATTGTTGATAACGGGGAACTCTTTTTCGACCTCTGAGCCTTCATTGATTTGGTGGTTAGAGGCAGCATGTACAAGCGTAAGAATATACACAAGACAACATGGGTTACACCAGATGGATACACCAAAAATCAGATAGATTTCATCTCAATCTCAAGAAATTGGAGGCGTGGACCACTCGACACCAGATGGATAACAGGAGGAGATGTATGCTCATATCATTATCTAGTTCAACTATACTTCAAGGCCAAGTTGGAAGTCTTCAAAGAAGCTGCAGATAGATCACAATTAAAGTCCAGCATTCAGAAACTGCAGGATGAGCTAGATTCAAGACAAACTAATCATGAGCGGATGGAATCGCAGAACCAAGCATCATCATCGAACTCAGAATAGGTTGGCAGTTAACTCTTCATGTCAGCTTCATCGACTTTGAGAAGGCCTTCGAGACCGTCAACCGTGAAGTAAGTTGTAGACTATTTCAACACTGCGGAGTGAAGCTCCGCGAAAATTTATGAATCTCTTTCAACATCTACGCAATGATGTCGCGTGCCAGGTAGTTCACAAGGGGGCAGTCACCTCGGTACTTGAAGTGAAGACAGGAGTAAGACAAGTCTATCCTCCGTCACCGGTGGTCTTCCTAAGCACGGTGAAGTGGATCATGGAGATGTGCTGCTGAAGCCCTACGTTTTAGTCGGAACGCCAGAGGCGAATAATAATAACTTATGAGAAGTGAGATTACTCGTAATCATACCTATCCAAGCCATCTATTTACCATGGACAAGAATTAATAGTCTCAAAAAAACTTCAAAAATCCTGTGAATCCTGATCCATTTGGAATTTACTCAGTAGCGAAAACTTTCTGCACCTCTTATACAACTGTGCAGTTTCCATCCACTACATTCAGCGGTTGGATAATGCGACAGACAGCGGGCAATGATGAAACAGGCATTAAATGGACTCACACAAAAACTTGGAGGATCTGGACTTCGCCGATGATATATGTCTGATTTCCTACAAACTGGAAGATATGCAAGCGAAAAGCAACAAGTTGGCAGAAGAAGCATCAAAGATAGGGGGACTTCAGGTGAACATAGAGAAAACAGAGGTGATGAAGATTCCTGGCCAACACCACCAACAGCAACAACAACTGACAACAATCAGCATAAATGGAAGGAACCTGAAAGAAACAACCTCCTTTACTTACCTGGGAAGCATTGTGTCAACTACAGGCGGATAGAACTGACGAGGATATCAAAGCAAGAATCGGAAAAGCAAGACCAGCTTTCACTACTCTCAAGTCTGTGTGGAGGTCAACAGCATTCAGCATCAAAAATGAGGTCCGGATTTTCAACTCCAATGTGAAGTCAGTGCTACTATACGGATCAGACACTTGACGCCTCGTAAAGAGCACCTCAAACAAACTACAAACCTTCATTAACAGTTTTCTGCGCTCAACACTCAAGATCAGATGGCCGGCCAGAAAAGATCAGCAACAGAGATCTCTGGCAATGAGCGAACCAACCAGGAACCGATTGTGAAACAAATCGGCAGGAAGAAATGGAGATGGATTGGCTGGCCATACTCTGAGGAAACCATCAAGTGACATCACTAGACAAGTCATTGCTCGAGTGGAACCCGAAAGGGAAGCGGCGAGTTGGTCGTCAGTGTGAGGGTGACTTGGAGGAGGTCATTTGAAGAGGAGATGAAAACGTGTGGGCAGACTTGGAGCCAGGTGAAGACGCACGGCTGAAGCCCTATGTTCCCCTAGGAACTAAAGGAAACAATTATAATAATAATAGTATTCAGCGGTTGAGGCTGAGTTTTAACCTTTGCGGAAATACAGTATTTTATACCATGATTATTGAAAATTTACCAGCTTGTATGCTATTACATTGCAGCCGAAAATTTCTCTGTATTATTATTACTAACTGTTAGGTGGTGTAATTAAGCCATTCTTAAGATTTTATCCAATGACTGGTGAAATACAGATTTCTGATGGGATGTTTACTGATAAAACCTACTATTGCATCCACTTGCAGAGTATTTCACATTCACTCTAAATAAGAATGGATTTTCTTATGTGAAAGCAAGGTATACTAAAAGTGAAAGGCACGGAAGTGGGGGTTGGAGGAAAACTAACTGGTGCTTTATGTACAAGATTTTCATACACGTGAATTAATTTTTAATACAACATGCAAACGAGGTACAGACTTCTACTTTATTCATCATATCCGGCTGTTTTATTCACATGACCTTTGACCTTATAGTTAATTTTCATAGGCTGATGTGTTGGGTTTTGTTTCAGGCAGTTTATGAACCACTGATTGAAATGATTGGCAAGCTTCGAAAAACCAGAGAATAATCTTTGTATCCACTAACTTAAATTTTCATATATCCTGATATTATGAACATATATCTGGGATTGTCTGCAGGCAACAATGTGAATTTGAAATAAGTTATAACATTCGAGAATTCAGCTGTTTTCATTGTCATCTTCTGGCCTATTTTTATCTGAAAAATAAGATATTCTATAATGAACATCTGTGAAAGGGTGTCTACTTAGATGATTGGAAAATTTCAAGGAAATCAATCAGTCAGTCGTTTCAAGGAATTCACCGAAATCTTATAAAATCTTACTTATTACTCGTAATATTTTTAAAGGTCAGTGTTATACTTAATCTCATAGAATTTT